AGAGTGGTTTTGCCCCAACTGTACTTGGCGGGGGCAGACAAATTCTGACTTCAAATGAGGATATTGTAGGTCAGTGGAAGAAGCACTTTGAGGAACTCCTAAACCCAAGAGACATGCCTCCCTCACAGGGGTCAGGGCCAGAGGCTTCTCCATTTCCCTGGTAGAGGTCACTGAGGTTGTTGGCTCCTCAGTGGCAAGGTACCAAAGGTGGATGAGATTTGCCCAGGAATGCTTAAGGCTCTGGATGTTCTGGGGCTGTCGTGGCTGACACACCTCTGCAACGTTGCATGGACCTTGGGATATTACCCTTGGGAAAGAACGGGGGATTGGAGGGTGTGTGCCTACTACTGGGGTATCACACTGGGAAAGTTTATGCAAAAGTGCTGGAAAGGAGTCTCTGACCAGTAGTCGAAGCTCAGATTGAGGAGGAAAAATTTGGATTCCATCCCGGCTGTGGAACAATGGACCAGCTCTTCACCCTTAAACAGATTGTTGAGGGGGCATGGGAGTTTGCCAAGCCACTCTACATGTGTTTTGTGAACTTGGAGAAGATTTATGACCGTGTTCCTCGAGATTTGCTGTGAGAGGTCCTCTGGCAGTATTGGGTGTCAGGGCCACTACTTCAGGCCATTCGATCTCTGTATTCCTGGAATGAGAGATGTCTCCATATGCTTGGCATTAAGTCAAGCTCCACAAAGACTTACTAGTCTCTGTTTCTCCAGTTCATGCTCCCAGGGCCACCCCAGTTCCTGTTCCCAGGGCCACTCCATTTCCTGCTCCCCGAGCCACTCCAGATCTTGCACCTCGGGTAGCTCTAGTTCCCCAGTGCCCCAGGCCACTTCAGTCTTGGTTTCCTGTGTGGCTCCAGCAACGATCTCGAATCACGATGCTCCAGCACCATCCTCCCAGCAACCCGCTCCAATGCTGGCATTCCAGCATCTGGTGCCAGTCTTCCAGTGCCCTGCTCTAGCACCGGCCTTCCAGCATCCCGCTTCAGCGATGTTCCCCCAGTGTCCTGTTCAAGTACTATTCTCCTCACCTTTCCAGTTCCCTGCTCAGCCGGCTGCCCAGCCTTTCCAGTTCCCAGTTCAACCGGTTTCCCAACTGTTTCAGTTACCTGCCAGGCCACATTTCCAGTTCCTTGTCCAGCAGGAACTCTGTGTTTTCCCATATGGCAGTCCAGTCTTCAGTTCGTACTACTTATTCCAGTCACTGTTATTGTGTTTGTGTTCATGCATATTACCACTAGTGTTCCTGTTCCTGTCCCAGTTATTTTTTCGGTACCCATTTCTGTCAGTGTTGCAGTCCTTGTACCTGTAAGCTTGTTTGGTCCTATCCCAGCTCCTGTCCAGCCCATAATCTCGTCTCACGTTCCATCTCATGTCTCGCCTCCTGTCCTATCTCAGGTCCCAATTCATGTTTTTTCTCCTGTCGAGCCCTTAGTTCCATCTCTTGCCCTGTTCTTCGTCCAGTCTCCTGTCCCATCTTTTGTCCCTTCTTCAATCCAGTCTCCTGTTTAGTCATTTGTTCAGTCTTCTGTTTTCTCTTGTCTGCCTTGTCTGGTCTCATATCTGTCCTCCAGTTCAGTTTCCTATTCAGTCCCTTGTTTAGTCCAGTGTTTTTTTTCGAGCCTCTACACTGAGCTAGCTCCCATGGGATGTTCTGGTCCATGTCTCAGGTTTTGCGCATCTCGAAGCATCTTTTTTTCTATATAGCATTTATATTTTCTCACTGTGTGAGCTCAAGTTTCGAGTTCAAGTTTCAAGTTTATTTGTCATTTGCACAACGTCAGGACATTAATGCATTGAAATGCTTGTGGTAAGGCTCAGCTAATCACTCTACAGAAAGTAAATAAGTAAAAATAAAAATACAAGAAAAAACAACTGAAATATATTAAATCTACACAAAATATACACAAAATATACACAGAATATAGAGACAAGATACATTTTAAAGTGACTAAGTGACTCAGTGTTGTTATTTAAAGTGACTTGGTACTTTTAAAGCAAAGTATTTGTAATGATCCATAATGAATTTACTTCCAATATCTCTTATTAATAAATCAAATGGAAGTGATGTGGCAAATGAACTAGAAGGCTCTCATTCAGTGCTCTTGTTTGGAGCACGAGAAGCTGCTGCTACTCATCTGCGATAAAATGCGCAGTTACGGTGAAATAAGATCCAGTGGTGATGAGTCTCCACACAGCACATGTTACAGCTATTCTACCCGTTTTCTTTAGTGATTTTATAACTTCGGTTTTGGTCTCATTGTAGAGACGGTGGGGATCTCTGTGTCAGTAAAGTATCTTTGAGACGGGTCATGTAAAACATAGTGTGAAAGCCCTGTTTTGCAACAACTGAGAACCGGCATGCAGACTGCAGGTCACCTAGCAGCGATGTGTTATTTGCATTTATAAGCAGCGCAGTTGGTTTCCTGGTCCATTAAATCTGCAACGAGAGACTGTCAAACAGTAAAAAGTGGCGAAGCTGAAGTCGCTTCTCTTTCGATTTCTCGGTAAATTCGAACAAGAAGCTGAAGAATAAGAAGCGACTTCAGCCTCGGAAAACAGTCGAACATAGAGAGACATTTAACTGATCAACTTCTGAGGAAAGGTTTTCTGGCGGAAATGGGAGGAAAGCGGCTGTAGGCGAAGCTTAAAGCAGAGCGAAGTAAATCTGCGTTTTCCTTTATATTGTTTAGTCTATACTAGGACATCAGCACATACTGAGACATACTGGACATTAAACGTTGCGGCTCCCGAGCTGGTTTGATTTTGTTGAAATGTCTCTTCTTATCATTTGTGTTGTGACTCCTGACCTAACCTGGCTTTAATGCAGAGGGAGCCGGTCGGATTTCTCACTCATCCAGTTGTGTTTTTGTTATGTGTCGCCAGAGACTGTCTGGGCGCTGCACTTACCCACTTCCAAGTTCCACCTTTTGCGTTCCGTCAACATTACGTTATAAATTAAATATTTAGAAAATCGATTTTTGACATTTGTGAATCGATTCAGAATCGTTGCATCTAAGAATCGATTTTTTCCCACACCCCTATTCCCTAGCCACCATTGCTGCATGTTCCTGGTTTATGTTTGTAATCTTAGTGTTTTTGTTTCCCTGCTTGTGTTTTCTTTGTGTAAGTCCAGACTTTTTGTTTCATAGTTTATGTAGTCAGTTCGTGTTTTTAGTAGTTCCCTTTGTCACCATGTTTTGGTGTGTTCTCCATGGATTCCTGTGCTATTTATCTACCTGTCTGTCATTTGGATTATCCATGTAAGTACTTAGATAAAGGACACTTACTCTTGTACCCCCCACTTCTACCTTGCCAGCCTATGCATTACAATTCTGTGATGCCAATCTTTATCATAATTATTCCCATTTCAGAAGCCCCTCCTCTGTCTTAAATGTGGCCAATGACTCTGAAGCACTCTCAGCTGTGGATTCAATGAAACACATACAGGGAACAGATAAAGCCCTAAAGATGAAGTTTCAAAGTTTTTATTGTTTACTATATAGTTTGCTGATGCTCCATGGGCTCCATGTTTGTTTGAGGCACCATTCATACAGCTCTAACAGCTTTAGCTTGATGCTTGTCACAATAAAAATCAGTGAACACAAGACCAGTATAACACAGCACAGAGCTAGATGGTGTCTTGAAAACATGATTTCACAGATAGTCTGTGCTATCCATACCCAACTACATCATAAGATAATAAAGTGCTGTGAAAAATATATTTGCCCCCTTCCCTTCTTCTGTTTTTGCGTATTTGACACATTTGACTGTTTCAGATAATCAGACTACTTTTAATATTAGACAGACATATCCAATGTAAACACAAAATGCTGCTTTTAAATGATAATTTTATTTATTGAAGGAAAAATGCTAGTCAGCCCTACTTGGCCCTATGTGAAAAAGTAACTGCCCCCCTGGCAAATAAATAAACTATTTAACCAAATTCGGTTGACAATTGGGTTAAATTTCATTAGCCATGGACTCCCTAGTGGTGCAACCATCTAAGCACTGGCCCTGTCATCAGGATATCATGAGTTAGGTCCCTAGTGATGGTAAGACATTAATCAGCGAGATGCAAGCCAATGCAAGGATCCCTTAGCTGATGTAACAGAACTGGCCATTAACCACAAACAGAAGACTTGGAACAGTGGCAAAACTTCCTAGGAGTGGCTGGCCTACCATAATTTCACAAAGAGTACATGTAGATGACAATAATTACTTTTTCATGGGATTTTGAATGAATTAACTATCTTCAATAAATGAAATGATCATTTACAATCTTTTTTGTTTACTCATGTTGTCTTTATCTTATATAATTAGTTGGATGATCCGAAACATTTAAATGTGACAAATTAACAAAAATAGGGTGGGGGCAATTTTTTCACAGCACTGTACTCTTTTCACCATAATTATTTTGCCAAAACAGATTTGCTAGGCTATGTGCCAGATTTCTTTTCACCAAAGACCACTAGCTGGGACACTTGTCAACAGAGAAACACAGCATGACTAGGATGTGACACTTCTCATCATGGTAGCAAAATATTCAAGTGAGACTTTGCACTGTGACAAAAGTGTTTTGTTTTGTTGAAAAGATAAGGACACTGTGCAGTAAAGTTTGACTGAGCTGTATGTTCACATGCTTGCCATCTGTGCAACATGAAGACAGTTATTTTGAACGTTAGAACACTGTGTGAAGTGCAAGGGCCTTTATTCATGTTCTGTGGTTGAGCTGGTTTTGTGTGTTCATATTAGAATTATATTAGACTAAAATTACAAATAGGTAATCCATTCAAAAGTTCATCTAAGCACCAGATAAGCATATATAAATATCTTTTTATGTGCTTTAATCTCAGACTTTTGTGCAGAACTATGTACCATTCACATTGTTTATAAAACATACATACATATATATATATATATATATATATATATATGCTCTGCGGTTCAGAGTAAACTACAGATAAAGCAATGTAATTAACTACAGTTGAATTAAACACATTCAGGAAACAAATTAAGCCTAGAAGATGAGATTTCACATATTCTACAGGTTAAAATATGTTTAGCCGATGTTCTGAACCACTGATAGAAAATAGCATATATTAGTGGATTCAGTGATGAGTTAATGAGAATCAGCCAGATAAACACAGTCCACATGATCGACACAGATGTGACACTTCCAACTGAGAGAGAACATAAATAAGATGGTATCCAGCAAGAAATATAAACAAAAATGACTAAACTTAATGTTTTTCCTGCTTTGGTTTCAGAAGAGCTTGAAACTTTGGATCCATGTCCGTTTGAGGCATCATTCCTTACAGCTCTAACAGCTTTAGCTTGACGTCTTGCCACATTAAAAATAAGTGAATACAAGACCAGTATAACAGAGCAAGGTGTAATAAAAAAAACTACCAGGTCAACAATCACCCAGGAATGTTTTATGACCAGCACACACTCTCCATAGCATTTACTGGATATCTGAGATGGAGTGAGGTGATCATTAATGTACATCAAAATAATAACATAAAGTAAAGAGAAACACCAGCCTAGAAATATGAACATAGATGCTTTGCAAACAGTGACTCTACTAGAATAAAGTAGAGGGTCACTGATAGCGATGTACCGATCAACTGCAATTAAAATTAGATTACAGAGTGATGCTGACATTGAGAGATTATTGATCAGTGGAAAAATAGAACATGCCACTTTTCCAAGATACCAACAGGAGTCAATCAATTGCATTATATTCACAGGCATAACAAACAACCCCACGAGAAGATCTGCCACAGACAGAGAAAGGATGAGCATGTTGGTTGGAGTGTGGAGCTGCTTGAAGTGAGAGATGGAGATGATCACCAGCAGGTTCAGAAACACAGTGAACACAGATACACATGAGAGAAAAATGAATAAAAACATATAAGCAGGGCCTGTTTGGACCTCCTTTCTGCAAGATGAGTTGTTGTCAGGAAAGCAGTATTGAACCGTGAGGTTTTGCGAATAGTCCTTGTTATTCATCTGATACAGATGTGGATCTGCCAACTGGAACTGATCCAAATGTAGTGTTCAGTAAAGCTGAACTGAGAGATTTGCCTTTTTGACAAGTATCTTTATACCCAAGCATGAATCCTCCCACTGTTATATGACTGGCTAGTTTGTCCCTTACATCACTCACTTATTTGTTATTCAGCACGACATCATTAATTATGTTGGGAAAGAAGACAAAGTCTAAAACAAACTGAAATGGCTGCATTTCAAAGGAATATCATCAAACAGTAGTAATGTCAGAAAGTTCAATATCACTTTAGTTTATGTACTGTTAAAATAAACAGAGAGACAAGAACACCCAGAAATAAAATGAGAATGTAATTTACTTTTATGTTCACCAAGAATATAGAGGATTGTTAAACTGTTATTAAAATAATGTAACTGTTATAGTATTTTTTGAATGTTAACTTCTTGGCCACTGGTGTGCTCAATGTTGTCTGAAAAACTTAATCTATAAAAAATAGTGTTTTGGGGGAAATCCACTAATTTTCTAACATTCTGGCAAGTTGAATCATCAAAATATAAACAGTCATTCATAATACTTTAACTGTAATGCAACATTGCAAAGCCCCCAAAAATTCGAAATCTGGATTGTCCTCTTAGTTAACTGAAAGCAGAGTCAAAAGCAGAGGATTTGCATTGTGATGAGGAAGTTTCCCTAGCCTGTAAGCTGGTAGTACACTTTTTACTGTGGTAACGGAGCTTCAAGAGGCTTCAATCCAGGATACTTTTCACTGTGGTATCAGAGTTTGACTAGGCTGCGAGCAGGGACAGTGTTCACCATGCTACTAGAGTTTGACTAGGCCACAAGCAGGGACAGCGTTCACCATGCTACTGGAGTTTGACTAGGCCACAAGCAGGGACAGAGTTCACCATGCTACTGGAGTTTGACTGGGTCACAAGCAGGGACAGTGTTCACCATGCTACTGGAGTTTGACTAGGCCACAAGCAGGGACAGTGTTCACCATGCTAGTGGAGTTTGACTAGGCCACAAGCAGGGACAGTGTTCACCATGCTACTGGAGTTGACTAGGCCACAAGCAGGGACAGTGTTCACCATGCTACTGGAGTTTGACTAGGCCACAAGCAGGGACAGTGTTCACCATGCTACTGGAGTTTGACTAGGCCACAAGCAGGGACAGAGTTCACCATGCTTCTGGAGTTTGACCAGGCCACAAGCAGGGACAGCGTTCACCATGCTTCTGGAGTTTGACTAGGCCACAAGCAGGGACAGCGTTCACCATGCTACTGGAGTTTGACTAGGCCACAAGCAGGGACAGCGTTCACCATGCTACTGGAGTTTGACTAGGCCACAAGCAGGGACAGCGTTCACCATGCTACTGGAGTTTGACTAGGCCACAAGCAGGGACAGAGTTCACCATGCTACTGGAGTTTGACTAGGCCACAAGCAGGGACAGAGTTCACCATGCTACTGGAGTTTGATTAGGCCACAAGCAGGGACAGAGTTCACCATGCTACTGGAGTTTGACTAGGCCACAAGCAGGGACAGAGTTCACCATGCTACTGGAGTTTGACTAGGCCACAAGCAGGGACAGTGTTCACCATGCTACTGGAGTTTGACTAGGCCACAAGCAGGGACAGAGTTCACCATGCTACTGGAGTTTGATTAGGCCACAAGCAGGGACAGTGTTCACCATGCTACTGGAGTTTGATTAGGCCACAAGCAGGGACAGAGTTCACCATGCTACTGGAGTTTGACTAGGCCACAAGCAGGGACAGCGTTCACCATGCTACTGGAGTTTGACTAGGCCACAAGCAGGGACAGAGTTCACCATGCTACTGGAGTTTGACTAGGCCACAAGCAGGGACATTGTTCACCATGCTACTGGAGTTTGACTAGGCCACAAGCAGGGACAGAGTTCACCATGCTACTGGAGTTTGACTAGGCCACAAGCAGGGACAGCGTTCACCATGCTACTGGAGTTTGACTAGGCCACAAGCAGGGACAGTGCTACTGGAGTTTGACTCTGTCCAGAGAGGTTCACAACTAAAACATCGCTAACTGTGAGTGAAGCTAAAAACATCCTTCTGCTTGACTGCCCTTGCTATGGTATCACTTGAATTCATTCATGGACTGGTGGACTTTGAGAGAAACGTTTTTGACAAGTTTGCCCAGATGAAAGATCGTTGTGTTTGTTTCAGACATGTTGTGTGTTTGGATCAGGTTTGTGTGTAATTCCATTAAGGAATCGCTGCTGCCCCTACAGTTTATTGTGCCCCACCAGCAACACTTCATCCTCAAAGTTCTCATAAGTGACCCTGGCTCTGCGCAGTACTATTAGTAACAGTCTATTGCAAAAATGTTTTTTTTCCGCTTTAGCTAAGTCAGGAGGCAGCAACACATAACTCTTTTACTGCCCTGACAGCAGAACGAGATTTTAGGTAAAATAACATAATCCTTCTTTGCTGTAAAATAAAGCTCTGCTGATCATTATAACCCACAGTCCTAACACAGTTTTAACAATGAATGGTCTTAAACACTGGAGTTAGCGCATAACTGCTAATTCATCAACCTTTAACACGGAAGATTGATGGGCAGACTGCTGATAATAACAGTCTTGCCTAGCTCATAGCTAACCAAAGGGCAAAGAGAGAGATTTAAGACCAACATCGATAATTTGGAGATGGACTATTTGCATTTATAAGCACTCAGCTGTTTTCCTGATACGTTTAATCTGCAAAGAGGAACTATCAAACACAAAGAAGTCATGAAGCTGAAGTCACTTCTCATTCACCAGCTTCTTGTTTAAATTGTCCCGTTCCACCTTAAATTGTGCCTGAGGCACCAGAATGTACTGCTGCACCATTTAAGGTGGAACGAGAAAATTCGAACAGGAAGCTGGTGAATGAGAAGCGACTTCAGCCTCATAAAAAGTCGAATGTTGGGAGACATTTTACAAGAAACTATTTTCACAAAAAATTTCCTGACTGAGATGCAAAAAACGGCTATAGCTGACCTAAAGCTTAAAGCAGAGCAAAGTGAGTCTGTGTTTTCATTCATATTATAATTTTTAGCCTCTACTAGCACATTAGCACATACTGAGACATATTTACAGCCATGATGGTAAACCGGATATAAAATGTTGTGCCTCCCAAGGTGGTTTCATTTTTGTTGAAAGGACAAAATGGCTCTACTTAACATTTCGGTTGCAACCCCTGAGCTAAGCCTACTAGTAAAGGTGGTCAGAGCGTGACCGTTTGCTCGAACTGTCCATGGCTCAGTCAGGATTGCACAATTGCCACCAGCCCAGTTAACAGCCGCGTTCCGTGGTTCAAATTTTGTGCAGATTGGCTGAAGCCTGTAGCGAAATTGTAGCCAAAATGATCACTACAGCTACACAAAACTTTGTAGGCGCTACAGCTATTAACTACATTTCATAAAACTGTAGGGGCTACACTTACTAGCTACAAAAAATTGTAGTTAGCTATAAAATGTAGCACTCTACTTAGCTACTCCCCCATCCCTGCTTATCCTCTATTTCGGTCTCATCTGACCATAGAACATGGCCTCACTGAAAGTTCCAGTAATGTCTGGCAAACTATAGGAGCTTGAGTTTGTTGGTCCTTGACAGCAGAGGCTGTCCCCCAAAACAACTTGTGGTCGTATAGGTGGTGTTTGATTATAGTTTGAGAGACGTTCTGACCCCAAGACCTGAATAATGTCTGAAATTCCTCCTCACAGTGAGTGGGGTCAGTATAGACATATGTCCTCTTCCTGGCAGATTCTTATCATCCAGTTGTTTTGGGTTTCTTAATTGCTCTGATAGTGGAAATGGGCATTTTCAACTGTTCAGCTATTTTCTCGCAGTTATTTTCCTGATTTGTGCAGCTGAAATACCTTTTGTCGCAGATCATTGCTGTATTCTCTGGTTTTTTTCTCATAATGATGGATGACTTAGGGAATTTGGCCTGTGTTTAAACTCCCAAGAGACTCGGGAAGACGGGACTTACCCTGTACATGTTTGTAACGCTCGGACAGAAAACCAGACGTGTGCAGATGGGTGAGTGCAGGTGGTTTAATATAAACCAAGGCGGCCGTAGTCAAAAGGGGAAAAACAGAGATCGTAGTCAAAAAACAGTCCAAAAGTCAAAACACAAATCATACACACAAGCGAAAGTACCAAAGGAATAGGCAATAGGCAAAAACGGAGTCAAACGAAGCAAAAGGTCAAACACGGTAAACAATCAGAACAGGATGAAAAATGCTCAGTAGTCTCAGAGAAACAATACCTCGCAGTGAGTCTAACTAAAGCCCGGGCTTATCTACTCTAAACTATCTGTCATATGATCATCAACACAGGTGCAAGCAGTCAAAACTCAGGGGATTGTGAGCGCTGATAGGAGCGCCTGTGATAGTCCGAAGTCACATGAGACTCCATAGTATCCTGGGAAGTCGGATTCCGAGTGCGGCTGCTCAGTCACATGATCTCCCAGAGAATTCTGGGAGATGATGTCCGTTTCCTCCACAGAGGGAGCCGAATGCATGACAATGTTCCTAATCACTCAGGTGAACTTTTTTTTTTCTATCAATCATTATTACTTCAAAACAGTTAGATTTTTGCTAATATTTTGAATAAAATATATAAAAAAAATAAGTAATTAATAATATTCATTTAAAGCAAAAGCACAGGTTTGTTGCTATATTCCCAAAGCTAAAGCTCAGCAGATCAGTGTTGCAGTAGTTGCTCAAAAATAACAACCCATTACAAGTTGCTAACTACTGTTTGAAACAATAATGGGATTATGTTACTTACAACTTTCTTGAAAAATTAAGCTCATTACTCATTTCTTTGCTTCTGCGTTATTCTGTACCAAACTATGTCATTATGTTGGCATATGTCACTAGTATGGCACTATGTTGATTTTAAAACAAGTTAAATTACCTGCCAATCATTTGAAATCATTTGAAGCTGCAATTCAATAATTTCATTGAATTCACAGCCTTATGTC